AGCGAGGGCGAGAGAGATGGAGAGAGAGATAGAGAGGGCGAGATCGAGAGGGCGAGCGGGATGGAGAGAGAGAGGGCGAGAGACAGGGCGAGAGAAAGACAGGGTGAGAGACGGAGACAGAGAGAGAGAGAGAACGAGAGAGAGAGAGAGAGACAGAGAGGGACAGGGGGTTTCTATGTGTTTGCTAGTGTGTGCGCAGGTCGAGTGGGGCTTTCGTGGGGTCTGTCGGTCTGTCGGTCTGTCGCGGCTCGGCCCCTCAAATATTGAACCGAGGGAACCGCATATATTTGAGGTCGCCACGAATTTGGAATTGGAATCGACTGGGTCCGGTTGAAACAGGGGGAGATTTATTGGTAAGCCCAAGAAAATTGGCACCGGAAGGTAGGGGATGAAGCCGGGGGCTTTTTGACAAATTTTTGGGGCTTCTGGCTTTCGGAGACGAAATTGGGAAACTAGAAAAGCTACAGCTACAGCTACGCGGCGCTACCATCTACGCAGGGATTCCATGGCGTAATTGGTTATTCCCCTCCGAAGATGGCCGACTTCCGGGGTGTTTTTCGGCGCCCAGATTTTTCTTGGTACTATCCCTTTAAAGTTTAAACTATGTAAACCATCGACTACGCTTCAGTACTCTCTACGCGACGATTTCATTGCGTAATTGGTTCTTTTTTGTGGAAATCTTAGCTTTTATTCGCTTTTTCCTCTCCTTAAGCCCTTACTTGAACTTCAGGCGATCCCGGCTACGCAGCAGTCCTTTTTACGCTGTGGTTACATTGCGTAATCGGTTAGGCGCTTGAAAAATCATCGACTTCCGCTTTTATGGAATTTTTTTTGCGCAATTTTTTATTCACTTGTTCTTACTTGTTTTCCCCTGTTTTTCTAATTTATCTTTTACCTTAGGAAAACAGCTACGATACGGGACAATTTTGCGATGATTACCGTGTGTAGCTTATTGTTAGTAGATTTGGACCCTTCCATCGTTAATTTCCCCCCAATTGACACCCACGCCACGTTGGCCCGGGCCCAGCCCGATACCGGTTCTCGACCAATACATTGCCAAGCTGTAATTTGCAGCCGCGTGTAGCCCCCCCTGCCATTCGGCTGTCTATTGAATGAATGGCGCGGGCCACCCGCGCCACCAATTCAACGATCAATATTTGAGCGTTTTCTTGGCAGCGCGGCGCGAGTTGCCCTTTTCTAAAGAGCCTCTGCAAGCCTGCCCTTTGTTAAAACCCATACTTTTCTATCCTTTTTTAATGGTTTCAATTTTTTAATTGATTTTGATATCTAAAAAACATTTTTTTTGATTTTCGAGGTATTTATGCCGTTTTGCCATTTCCTGAAGAATCTCTGCTAGCCTGCCCTGTTCCTAAAAAACCTCTGCTTGCTTGCCCTTTTCCTCAAGAATCTCTGCCAGACAAAAAATAGTTTGTATTTTATTCATTTTGACAAGTAAAACTATTTTCCGATTTTTTGAGAATTCCTGCTCTTTTTCGTAATTCCTCAATGATCTCTGCTAGCCTGCCCTTCCGAAAGGACCTCTGCTGGCTTGCCTCTTGCCAAAAAGTCTGTTTTCTAAGGTTTTATGGTTTGTATTTCTTGAATTAAAGCTATTTAGGTGGTCCTAATTTTTGTAATTTCCTAAGAAATCTCTGCTAGCCTGCCCTTTCCTAAAGAATCTCTGCTAGCCTGCCCTGACCTCACCGCAATTCCTGGGCACTTGTTGGCCCGTAGGGCAGAAGTGGCCCCTCTGTCTGTTTGTCTGTTTGTCCGTCTGTCCCGTCCAGTTATTTGCTAGAGGCCATCAGATTGTGCCAACTGTGCGATGGGGGGTTGTGTGCCTCCCCCTCCCCTATTCCCATCCCTTCTCCATCTCCTCCTCCTCCTCTACCTGTACCAATTGGTACCCAGGCACCGCGCGAGAGAGACCAACGCGCGTCCCAAGGTGAACGCGCCACAACGCCGGCCTGGGTGCTGTTTTTGTTTTTATTTACCTGGGCTGGCTAGCGGAGATTCTTTGGGAAAGGGGGAGGCTGGCAGAGATTATTTAGATTTAGAGCTTTCCTAAGGAATCTCTGCTACGCTACCTTTTCCTAAAAAATTTCTGCTAGCTTTTTCCGTTCTAAATGTTCTCTGCTTGCTTGCCCTGCCAAAGGAATCTCTGCTAGCCTGCTAAAAACCTGAAAAACAAGACAAAAAGCTGGCTGCAAAGATTCTTTAGGAATGAGCAGGCTAGCAGCGATTCTTTAGGAAAGGGCAGGCTAGCAGAGATTCTTTAGCAATGGCAATCTAGCAGCGATTCTCTAGGAAATACCGCTAAATACTACCCCCACCAATCTTTCGGCCCTACATAGACCCCGGCCGGCTATCGTGACCTCAAATTTGGTGATCCCAATCTCTCTCTCTCTCTCTCTCTCTCTCTCTCTCTCTCTCTCCAGCTCGGACTCCTCGACCCGAGCAGCAGATGAGCGATTTTAATCAATCTTTCTCCCCGTTTTGGCCGCCGAGGTCACCTCCTTCCCCAACTCGACGACTAGGCAGACGATGCTCACGACACAGCTGGTGCTCCTTTGCATTTTGGGGGTTAATTATTGGGAGGGGCAGATGCCTCCCATTAATAGCCACCCCCACCTAGTATGCATAATTTCCCCCAACCACTTGCTGCTCCCTAATTTCATCTGTCAGGTTTTACCTCGGCCTCGGGCTATTTTATTAGTGCTCATTTACATTTATCGTAATTATTAAGCTTAAAAATTGTCATTTAAAGCCTCAGATACCTCTAAATATATTTTTAAGTACGTTTAATACGTTTTTATCAGGTTCTAAGTATTTTTTAAAGCATTTATTAGTTTTATTGAACGATATGCCAATTTTTTTTCATCGTGAATTTTGGATAGAATCGCTTAATGATACCTTTAGAACGTCGAATTTTATGTTCTACGCCGTTGTACGGGTTTTTAAACGTTTTTACTCTCTTAAAATCCCCTGAACTGCTCGAATTTGCTCGATTTTCCGGAGCTGATCGGCTAAAATTTTTCTATTTATCGAAATTTTAATGTTGAAAACTAGCTTATCTTGTGCAGAATTTCGCGCTGGTTCCGAATCTAGCTTTAAATTGCTCCAAAACCGTCAAATTTGAAAGGTTATTCGGTTTTTAAGTAAAAAAATAGAAATTTTTTCGATTTTTAGTCCTAAATTGCTTACAACTTTTTAAATATGAATTTTTACAAAATTCTGATACCAAATTCGGAATCAGCGCAATATTCTGAGCAAGATGTGCTTCTCTCTCTCTCGCTCTTTCTCTCTCCTCTCTCTCACTTTCTCTCTCTCTCTCTCTCTCTCGCTCTTTCTCTCTCCTGTACGTCTCCAACTCGTCGCTGAAAATCCAGGCTTATCCCCCCTGGTCGGCTTTCCCAAGCAATACCATCAAACGGCGGGCAATACGCGTCCAGCGCCCCCACGCCCGGAGCAGCTTTTCCCCCGCCGCTGCACTTGCAATATCTACATCGGTCTGTCCGTTCGTGTCAATAGGAATGGAACGGGCTTCTCCTGCTCTTGCTCCTCCTCATCCTCATGCTCACATTTTCCCGCGCCATTCCCACGCCCAGTTTTGCGCGCTGTGGGCAGGCAGGCGGGAGAGAGAGCGGGAGAGAGAGAGAGACCCTCCCTGCCCTGCCCTTCTTTTGTACCCCGATATCGATTGGGTATTGGCTGGGTTGGGGGCGATCGGCTGGCACCTAGGGCTCGTTTCCTGGGCGTTTTGAGCTTTAGAAATCTGCTGTTTCACCTTTTCTAACTTTCCCGAGGTTTTCTAGGAGTTCAGGAGCCCTTGTTTTAAGCTTAATATATTTCTATAGAAATTTTCGGGGCTTTTTCCAAACTTTGGAAAGCAATTTTCGCACTTTTCGATACTGAACGAGGTCTTCTAGCCGTTCGGCAGGCCTTCTTTTCGCAAAATAGATTTTCATAAAGTTTTCTAGCCCTTTGCTGCTGAGCTTAAAAATATACGTTCCTGTAGATTTTTGAGCATCCCGAGGTTTTCTAGACGTTCAGTAGCCGTTCTATTAGCTAAATAAATTTTTATAAGTGGTCTTTTATCCTTTTCAAGCCTTAGAACTGGATTTCCTGCGATTTCAAAGCTTTTGCGAGGTTTTCTAGCCGTTCAGAAGCCCTTGTTTTCGTCAAATAAATTTTTTAGAGGCTTTTGGCCCTGTTCCAATTTTTTAGGTCAATTTTCGCATATTGTTAAGCCTTTTCCGGCCTTTCCAAGAGGTTCAAGCGAAACCTCGGCTTCGCATCACCCGAAAAACCCCATTTTTCGTGTGCCCGATTCATTTAAATGACGGAATTGACCCCGTTCCCGAGCTTTATCTCGATTTTTCTATTTTATCGATTTGTCAAGATGACTAGCCCTGTTAGTGTAATAATGACTAACTGTAAACCTCCCAAAAGGTTACCCCCTTCTTGCCGATGGCGTCTCTTATTGGGCCGTTATCTTTTGGCAATCAGGGCCGGCCCCCTGGCCATCCAATACAATTATTGATCAGGAAAATATTTGAATTGGCATTATATCATTTTTAATTCCATTTTTAGGTTTTTACAAATAAAAAACGATGGTTATAATTTGATATTAAACCCTTTAAAACTGATCATCTACTTCTCTGACCTCAAAATCTGGCCGTTTGCCAAAACATTGACTTTCCGGTCCCTTTAAAATGTTTAAAAAGTGCCAAAAACGTTTCAAATTGAATTTTTTAAAATTCAGGGCGTTGCGGTCAAAAAGCGGCTTTTTCTAGCGGTTTAAAAATTGTTATTAAGCCTTTTTAACGTTTAAAAATCATTAAAATTAAAATTAATTATATTCCTCCGAATTATATCGTTAAATTCAATTGAAAATTATTAAAATTAAAATTCTCCACCTCCTCGCCTCTGGAATTTTCAATTTTCAAACGTATTAAATTAAAATTATAGCTTAAAAAAAATCGATACTTTGCCTCGAAATGCAATTTCTTTTTCGACACGTTTTTCGGAAAATTCCGAAAATTCTAAATGTTCGGTTTTCAGGCGCTGCAACACTTCAGCGCGGTGATCGAAGCGGCCGTGTCGGGCCAATCGCTGCAGCTGTCGCCCATGGATCGGCATATGCAAATGCAGCACGCCGCCGCCAACGCCTACGCCGCCGCGCAAGCCGTACGATCCGTACTCCCGCAGCAGCTCGGGTTCACGGTAAGCGCGGGTTTTTTTGCGGCCTGTAGACGTAGATTTTGCCAAAACAGAAATCAAAATTGAAAAATTGCAAATTTCTTTAAATTCGGTTTTTCAGGGCGGCCCGTCGCCGATCTTCCCGCTGGACTTACTGCAGACGCCGGCCGCCACCCTCCATCCCGCCAGCCTATTCGTCCCGCACACCGCCTATCTCCTCCCGAGCACACAGGTTTGTAGTTTGTGGTTTAAAATTGGCGCTTAAATGATTCAAAATGGCTGTCTGGTTCTTTCTCTTTATCGGGGGGACCAACATTTTTTTAAGCACCCCGTTTTTTTATATCAATAAAGTACGTTTTGCTAAAAGTCTGACTAAAAATGCACTTAAAATCCTTTCTATTAAGTTACTAGACACTTCCAGATTTTTTACACCCCCCGATAATGCAAAAGAACCTGTTAAACTTGCAAATTCGTGTTTTATCGTTCTCAAAAATAATTTTGGCCTCAAGACGATAATTTTAAGACTTTGAAGCATGATTTAGCATTATAAAATTGCTATATTTTTGATTTAAAAAGCTTCGAGAATTGATGTTTTTAAAAACAATATTGTGCCTAAAATAACCGTTCATTTATAGTGGCCTTTTCAGTCGCTAGCCTGCCAATGTATGTACAGCAACGGGACACAACCATGCACGATACACCACGCGCCGATCACCTACGGACAGGCGACGTTTCCGGTACGTTCAGCTCTCTCTCTCTCTCTCTCTCTCTCTCTGTCTCTTTTTCTCTCTCTCTCTTTTTCTCTCTCTCTATCTCTCTCACTCTCCATCTTTCTTTCTCTCTCTCTCTCTCTCGCTCTCTCTCTCTCTCTCGATTCTCGATCTCGCGCGCTCTCTCGCTTTCTCATCCTATCTCTCGCTCTCTTACTCCACTCTCTCTCTCGCTCTCTTTCTTACTCTCACTCTCTCTCGACCTCGCTATCTCTCTCTTCTGTCTCTCTCTCTGGCTTGAAAAATCCATATTTATTCACCTTTTTTTTAGGCTTTCCAAGCGGTCCCCCCGGCCTCCCCGGCGACGTTGCACAGCCCGCCGGTGAACACGCAGCCCGCCGTCCAACAAGTCACCCACCCTGTCGCCCAGAACCCGCCCGCCCAACAGCAGATTGTTCAGCAACACCAGCAGGTAGATGACCTCCAGAAGTCCGGAATCCAATTTTTATTCCAGCCCCACCCCTCCAACAGCCAGCAAACAATCCAGAACACGCCCAGCCACGCCCCGGTGATATCGGTAAGCCATTGGTCATCTACAGCAACGAGATTCTGACCGTTCAGTTACCTCCCGGACCCGTCGCCCCAGCCCTTCCCCCGACCATGCCCCACTCGATGCGCTCGCTGACGATGCGCTTGAAACGAACGGCCCCTCAGCATAGCCAAATTGCGAGATTGTCGTCAAAGGTATTTTATTATTTATTAAGTAATAATCTGTATTTATTACTATAGATTTACTTTATTTAATTAAACAAATTTTAACTGGAAAATCATCGAAACCTGTTTTTCACCGAAATTTGTTGAAAACTAAACCATTTTGGGGGGTTTTTAAGCTTTATTTGAGGGCCTTAAAATTTTAATTACTTAGACATTGAATAAAAATACTGCAAAACAATTTTTAAAAATTTTAATAACCGTTTTTTAGCTTTTTACACAAATAATGGATGAATTTTGTTACTGACTTTATAAACAAAATGTTTTTTATATTTTTAAACATATCTAAAGTTCAGAGAAATGAGAAAATTCAGCTCTTTTTGTTAAAATGAAAAGAAACTTATTTATCTTTATTATTACAGGTTCGGCGGGTTGAAGGCCGGCCGTCCACCGACGCCGAGCTGTCACCCTCTGAGCCGCCGTCAACATCACAATTGACACGGCCACAATCACTCGGATTGGGACAGGTTTGTCGTAAAGAATCTCTGCTAGCCTACCCGTGCCTAAAGAATCTCTGCTAGATTGCTCTATACGAAACCCCCAAAAACCACCCGAATTTCAGTTGTGCACCAACTGCCAGGACGGCACGCGCAGCTCGACGTGCTTGAGCTGTGTTCCCTGCCACCACTGCGTCCTCTGCCAACATCACCAAGCCGCTTCGGCCAGCGCCTCCGCGCAGCCCCAACAAAGCTTGGCGGTTCCTCAGCTCTCCGCGACGATGAGCGCGCAAGCGCACAGTCTGCTGTCCGCGCTGCAGGCGGCGCCGCCCGCGCAGCAGTCGTCCAGTCCGGTGGGGATCAGCCAGGCGTCGAGGGAGGCGAGCACACTTCAGCAGCAGGTTGGTTGAAAAAAGCACAAATCTCTCTCTCTCTCTCTCTATCTCTCTCTCTCTAGCTATCTCTCTTTTCTCTTTTCACTTTTTTCCGGTTCCCGTCTATTTAAAAATCCTCCTCAAAAATCTCTGCTAGCCTGTCAGACGCCTTTTTCAGTAAATAGTAAAATCCCTACACCGATGAAGCCGAAAACTACCTAAAAACCGAAGGAACAACCCAGAAAAATTGCCCCCCAAAATTAACACCAAACTTGGGTAACTAAACCGGCCATGACCGTCACTTTGCCAATTTCCCACTAGCCCCCCATCTGGCCCACTGTCTGGGCATAAGGGTCGACCCCTCCCAGCCCAATTTGTCAGTCGGTTCACGCCTCGTTCCGTCTGCCCCGGTGGCCCCGTACAGCCAACAATTTTCATGGGTTCACGGCACCCATTCAAAAATGCCATTCAAGCATTGCACTTGAACAGGAAAAGCTTCGGCTGCTCCTGAACTGCTTGAAAAGCTTCAGACTCGTCTGAATAGCTTGAACGGCGCAGATGCGTCTGAACAGCTCGAAAGGCTTTTCAGATTCGTCTGAACTGCTTGAAAAGCTTCAGATGCGTCTGAACGGCTTGGAAAGCTGGGGCTCAGCTCAAATTTTGGACATTGGGAGAGGCAGGCCATTAATGCGCCTACGACACAGCCTAGCTGTACCTCTCGCCAAAAATGACGGATTTTCCAAATTTTCGTGGTGCGGCTTCCGGGCCGAGGAATTTTGGGCAGTTTTGAATGGAATTAAACATCGTTACCGTCGGTGCGCTTTGCATGCTTCCTGATCACCACCGACTCGACACGCTTCTGGACCACGGTGAAACTATACCTCGGGGAAAAACGCTGGGTTGGTGGTTGGGGAGGATGGTGGACTTAGTATCCCATTATTTTGAGATACTTTGAAGATATGATAGTATCCCTATTGAAGATACTACTCTAAGAAAGTATTTATCATTCAGTAGATGACGAAGTCGAGGAGAGGCCCGAGGAACTCTCAATAAAAATTCAAAGTCCCGGCTTCCCCCAAAAATTGGAGAATTCCTATTTTATTACAAAGTAGTCATTGGAACTACGATGTAAAAAATATATAGGAAAAGCCAGAAAAACTTGGCACCCTTCCAAAAGGAAGAGCCCAAGAATTTTCCGCTTTTTGAAGCCAAGCACCGAGCATCAGCCCGGGTTGGCTCAAATTTTTGCGCGCCACTCCGGAGAGTCGCGGCACAATGGCTGTGACGCGGCCAAGCGGCGGATTGAACCGAAAAGACGAAAACGGGTCCACCCTTACGTTCTGGAAGTGGGCCAGATGGGGGGCGAGTCGGGCGGGGGCCGGGGACGAGCGGCGGCACCCCGGTTCAATTACCCAAGTTTGGTGTTAGTTTTGGGGGGTTACTTTTCTGGGTTGTTTCTTCGATTTCTAGCTTGGTTTCCGCTTCATCGGTGTACGGCTTCATCAGCTTCACGTCAGAAATTCTTATGGCGTCGTCGTAGAGTCGATTTTGACCATATTTTTAGAGGTCTTTTAATATAAAACGGTGGATTAAATGTTATATTTTTAATTCCGCGTCTATATATCGATTTTCCCGACGATGATTTATTGTATATATTTTAATAGGCTAGATATAACCTGAATTTTTTAATCACCAAAACTTGTAAACTGAATTTAAACTACAATTAAAGCTATTTTTAGCGTATTTTAATAAGCAAAAGGTATCTAAAACGTGGTTATATTTTTAGTTAATTTTGAAAAGCTATTTATGGCTTAAAATACGTTAAATCGACGAAAATTTATTAAAAAATTGATTTTACCTGTTTTTTTCAAGGTATTTTAAACGCATTTTAATAAGCCAAAGGCATCTAAACGTAGTAAAATCATTTTGATCTAAAACTATTATCTAAACATTATTTTACTCAATTTTTCATAATCTGCATGGCTCAAGCTCAACAATTTAAAAATCAAAAAAAAGGCTTAAATCGACGAAAATGTACCAAAAAAATCGATTTTAACTATTTTTTCTTCAGGTATTTTTAACGTATTTTAATTAGCAAAAAGGAATGAAAAATGTCTTATCAATTTTCTAACCCCGTTCTCCAGTTTCAGACGCAACAAATCGCGGCGCTGGCCGCGCAACAGGACCTCATCCAGACGATCTCGCGCGAGCGGATGAACGCGGCGATCTGGTCGCGTCAACTGCAGGCATACGACACGACCAACACGGCCGCCTTCAATCAACGCCTCGCCGCCCCCTATACCCTGTCGCAATTGTCGTTGACCGGACACCCCGGGCATCTTCTCGTCGTCCCCAGGGCCGGCACGATTCCGGTGAGTTCAGAATTTCGTCAAGAATCCCGGATCTTGTGCATTAGCGGGGTGGGGGACGCCAGGCGAGAAACAAAATTTTTGGATCGAAAAAATTTCGTCAAGTCCAATTTCCTTAAGAATCCCGGAGCTTTTGCATTATCGGGGGGGTATCAGGGAACCCCAACTTTTATAGTTTGAAAAATCCTGGTACTCCCAAATCCCGGTGCTTTTGCGTTATCGAGGGGGGGACCCGGGGAGAACCAACTTTGTTGTATCAAAAAAAAAGTTCGTTGAGTCGAATCCCCTAAAGCAGCCCGGATCTTTTGCAGTAGCGGGGGTGTCAGGGGAGCAACAGCTTGTTCCCTAACTTTGCGCCGATTTCGATAGTCGAATTCGCGGTTCTTTTGCCTTATCGGGGGGGATTTTTAGCATACAAGTTTTCTAAAACAAACGGAGCAAGTTTTCTACGCTGTTTTTCACCATTTCTAACCCACAAAACTTTACAAATTTCCCTAAAAAATCGAAAAAATTGATTACGACCAAAATTTGGAATTTTAAACTTTTATTTCAAGTTTTATATAGTTTTCCGCCTCTGAAATATGATTAATTTATTAAAAAAGCTATTAAAATAACTACTATTATGCTAACGGACTTTCTGGGCTTTACAGGAAAAAATTCCAACCCCCCCCATAACGCGAAAGCTCCAAATTCCCTAAGGATCTCTGCTCGCTGCCCCGCTAAGAAAACTAAAGTTCAAGAGGTCAAAAGATAACTAAAAGCACGGGAAAGCGATGATGCTGAATTTTTCGGCTTTCGCGACACGCAACGCGCACGCGCCGCGCGACAAACTAAACTAGAAGCAGCCGAATCGATTACGCGATGAAAATAAGATAGCTAAAATCCAGAAGGGAAAAATCCACTCTGCCTTACCAGTCCCTTTAACCGCTAAATTTTCAGATCCAAAACGCCCGCCTGGACCTCGTGTTCACCACCCTTCCATCCGAAGTGATGTACGAGCGGCCGACGATGGAGCGCCAACACGCGACGGCCGTCTTTGGAGGGCAACCCGTCGCTGAGCCTCAACCCATTGGAGCATCACTCGACGACATCGAGAAGAACACCCAGCGCAGCGAGTTCGTCAAGGATCTCGAGGTGGGCGGGCTAAAATTTAGAAAAAGATTAGAAAATAAATTAGAGAAAAAAGAGAGAACCATTAGCAACAAGAAAGAAAACCTAGAAGGATAAGATTAAAACCACAACGTTTTCAGATACCCGAAAATGAGAAAGAGCGGTGTACGGTGTGCCTGATGGATTTCGAGTCTGGAGATGGTGTGCGCACCCTCCGATGTGAACACCTTTTCCACGTCGACTGCATCGACAAGTGGGTTTTGAAATATGGCGTCAACAATAGCCATGGAAATAACTTTAAACACAAACTACAAGTTGCAGCCTTAGTAAACAAGCAAAAACCATGTGGGAATTATTCTTAGGCGAGCAAGTCATACTTAAACGTTAGAAAGTTAAGTTAAAACTACAAACTACGTTTTCAGATTCAGAAATGATTTGGGAAGTCATCCTAAAACTCCCCAAAAAATAAAATTACGTTTAAACCTAGCACAAAGTATTTGGGAATTGAGCCCTTTGAAATGAAATTAAAAACTCCATTAAAAGCTAGAGGCAGAACCCGTAAACCCGAAAAATTGGTTTCAAAATTAAAAAAAAAACAATTTCCGGCTTTTCGAACTAGCAGAAGCCATTTGGGAAACTATCTCATAACTCCCTAAAAAGAAAAATTCTGTTTAAAACTACCAACAATCATATTAAAGGCGTTTCCAACTAGCAGAAACCATTTGGGGAATTGCGTGGCGAGAAACGGCTTGAAACAAATCCTGTGAACCCGAAAAATTAGCGTTAAAACTAGAATAAAGCAATTTTCGGGGCTTTCGGACTGGCACAAATCATTTGGGAGTTTTGCCTAAACCTGAAACTAAACGTTAAAAACTACAAACCGCATTTTTTAGGGATTGGGCAGCTAGCAGAAACGATTTGGGGAATTTTCGGGTAGAAACGGTTAGAAAGAAAAGCTCTAACCCGAAAAATTAGGGTTAAAACAAGAAAAGCTATTTTTTGGACTTAGCCAACTAGCAGAAACTATTTGGGAATTTATCTAAACCCGAAAATTGGGCCGAAAAGTGCAAACTACAACCTAAAAAGACTAAAAACCAAAAAATTGGTCTAAAAAAATAGAAAACATTTCCACATTGCCGTTACAAACTACAAAAACCCAAAAAACTTGCAGATGGCTCGTCTACAACAAGAAATGCCCGGTGTGCCGCGTGGAGGTGGACTGCCCGAAGGCGGCGCTGCTCGTCGAGTAGAGGCTTCTTCATCTCCCTCCCCACTTCCGCTTCAGTGTGCTGATCACCCCCCAACCAATTTCTGTGATAACCACGATCCGAAGAAATAGGCTTTTCAATTGTTTCCGGAATCCCCGATTTTTTCCAATTTTTTTTTCACAATTTCTAATTGCGCACCATATTCCTTTCACCGTCACCCCCTATATTCTACGTGCCCTAGATGCTTTCACTCGGCTTTTCCACTCCCTCTTTCTACACGACGCCCCGGTTACGCGCTTGCTAAAAAAATAATATAAATTAGGAAAATATATACGATAGAGGATTGGTGAAGCCGGCTTCGTTTTTGGGGCTTTGTTTGCTTGGAATTTTTGAGGGAGACGCACACGCAAACGTATTCTAAACCTATGTGAAGCATCAGTGAAGCATAAGTGAAGCCTAAGCCAAGCACAAGCTTAAGCCCCAGCTAAGCCTAAGCGAAGCCTAAGCCTAGCTGAAGCCCAAGCCTTAAGCTAAGCCCAAGCTAAAGACCATGCCTAAGGCTAAGCCGATGAAGCCTAAAGCTAAGCTAAGCCTAAGCCTAGCTTACGCCTAAACTAAAGCCTAAGCCAAGTGAAGCCAAAGCCTAAGCCAAGTGAAGTCTAAGCCTAGCCGAAGCCTACGCCAAGCCTACGTCTACGTAAAGCCTAAGCTAAGCCAAAGCCTAAGCACAGCCTAAGCCAAGTGAAGCTAAGCCTAAGCCAACTTCACGTAGCGTTGCGCATGCATCGCGTCTCGCTGAAAATCCAAGAAGAATCGAAACAAAAATTTTTTTTGAAACTTTCCAAGCCCTATAATTTCACTTCCGGCTTCACCAGTCCAAAAAATTAATTCTAAAAAATATACCTATCCAAACTAAAAAAATCCCCGTCCCAATTCTTCGTGCCTCCAGGGTCTCGCCCCCCAATTGCTTAGATACTCAAAATGCGCACCACCGACCCCTAAAAAATCCCTTTGGTTAAAATTAAATTTATCACCCAATTTCCTCCTCCAATTTTCTCTGGTCCGCCTTTTGTGATTTGATGTGTGTGTGCGTTTTTAGTCCCCGGGGAAGGAAGCTTGGGTTTTTGCAAGGAGTTTCAAGTTCTAAAAGCTACGCTACGCAGTTGAACGCGTTTAATGTAGCGTAACATACTAAAAAACGTATTTTTCCACGCCACGCAAAAGACGTTCGTTTCTACTCCAAAACTCGTCTAAAATAACCCAGAGAAAGGGAAAGAAACGTATTTTCTATGCTAAACCTTAGCTGAAAAACGCGTTTAACGTAGCGTAACGTACTAAAAACGTATTTTTCTGCTCTAAAAACAATCGAAACCTGCTTAACTTAACGAAACGTACGTTTCTAAACTAAAACGTGAACGCGCGTACGCAGCAATACGCAC